GGAAGTGAATAGAATTGCTTTTAAGGGAAAATATAAATTAGTCCCCTTGCACAAGTAATTAATAATTTAAACCAGCCAGTGATACCTTTGATATTATAGAAGTTTAAGCTGTTGGGAGGCGTGGGTTGGTTGACATGAAAACCCTCTGCCTACTCTGATTAGATGGTTTTTTTTTTAAAGACATTGAAAGAATTGAGGGTTTTAAACTTTAACAGTAATATACAAAGTTGTTATGATCTCAAGAGCGTTAGAACCATTATTTTATAATAAACCTTTTCCTTAAACCAACAAAAAGTACTCTTGAATTTTCTCTATTATGAGAAAATTTTCCGTACAGAAGAGTATGACATTGTGATGGTAACCCAATAGTTTTGTGGTATATCTTTGTATTTACACTTGTAGATGGCTAATTAATATGAACTGGTTAAATATCCAGGTCTGAACTTAACTTTAAGACAATGACAAGAATCTTAGCTTTTACCACTGTGACACTTATTTTAAGTGTCTGTTTCTCCTTAGGGAGAAACTCTTTAAAGGACCATCTTGCCATATTATTGAACCCAGCACAGTGTTAGGGGCTCGTGTAATATTGGGTCAGTCAGTGGTAATACTTAATGCAGTATTGATCTGCTATGTTAGTTGCCTCCCTCCACTCCCTGAGTTAAAACGTGGCCACATGAAAATAATCATGTTGTAAAAAATTGTTTTGAAGGGGAAAACAGTATTCATAGACTAGAAAATATTAACATGTTGTAATGTTTTTGTTTACAGAGATTAAAATAACAGTATCTTAATGTAAATATAAGTTTATTCTATTAAAAATCTTAAGTACCTGAAAAATGGTTCATATCAGTAATCAGGGAAATATAAATCAGAACCACAGTGAGATACCACCTCACACCAATAAAAATGGCCATTATTAAAACAACTAAAGATAAATGCTGGCAAGGATGTGGAGAAAAGGAAACCCTTGCACACTGGGAATGTAAATTAGTATAATCATTATGGAAAGTCCTCCCAATTAAAAATAGAACTACCATATGATTTAGCAGTCCCACTATGTGTGTGAAACTTCTGTGTGAAATAAGCTAGACACAGACAAGTACTATATGTGCTCATTCATAGGTGGAATCTAAAAGAGTTCATTTCATGGAAGTTTAAAATAGAACAATGGTTACCAGATGCCAAGGACAGTAAGGGGTAAGGGGAAATACTATGTATTGATAAATTCATATTGAGTTAGGTAGGAGCACCTGTGCTACTATTGTACCATATGATGACTACAGATAACATGTACAATACATTTCAAAAAACTAGACAAAAGAATTTTGAAAAATTATACCACACAGAAATGATATTTAAGGGAATAAAATATTTACCCTGATTTAAATATTACATGATATATACATGAATCAAAACATAACATGGTTCCTTGTTACTATCTGTACTTTTTTATCAGTTAATATTTTTTAAATTTAAAAATTACCAAAAAAGTAAGCTTCTCTTGTCAGATCCAGTACTTAATTATATCCTCAGCCTTTGCTTCACTTCCCTTCCCTTGCTTTCAGATAGCGTGATTTCTACCAGCACTGTCATTAACACTTTTAAAACCTTGTTCTTTACCACCAACTGCTACGGGAATAAAATGCCCCCATAGACAAAGCAATTGCCTTAAAAACTTTGTCTTTGGGCTGGGAATGTAGTTCAGTGGCACAGCACCTGCCTGGCAAGTGGGAGGCCCTGAGTTTCATTCTTGGTACCAAAAAAAAAAAAAAACCAACAAAGACTAAACTTTGTCCTTGGCATTTATTTTCTGATTTTGAATAACATTACAGCTTCTGGGTAAAACATTATGTTTATAAATAAGCTATTATATTACAATGGTCTGTGAATTATGAAAACTTAATAAGAAAATATCGATTCCTTATAGACTGGTAATGGTATGTGTAAATTTTAAGTTCCTGAAGAAAGAAAGGAAACAAGTGTCATATTTCAAATCAATAATGAATATTTTTTTACTTAGGGAGAAAAAGTACTTGCATCCATACTTCTTCACATTATGTATGTGGCATCATCTATCATAAATTTCGTATGCATTCTGTTTTTGGTCATTTTCTTTTGTAATTTAATTTTATGTGACTTTTTAAATCAGAACTTATTTTAGTGTGATTTTTAAGGATTATCCAGCACTCACCTCAAATCCATGGAAGAGCAAATTCAATTATTATAATTTATAAATGACCATTTTCTTTGCAGATAGCACATAAAATTTAAATATTTCCATTCATAAAAATTTGAACTTTATAAATTGGTGTAAAATTTGTTACTGTCTGACTTACATTCTCCTTTAACGATCAGAGTAAACTAATGGGTCATAGTTTTGAGTGCATGACATGTAATTGGATGGATTGGTGTTGTTACCTCTTTGGCATTTATTTAGCATCTGTTGTAATCAGTGTTGAATACTATGGTAGTTGCTAATGTTTCAAAGATAAAGAAGACACGTACCTCCGTGAATCTTTGTTCTTGATGTAGGACACTGGAGATTTAATTTAGCAAAAGATAAAGAAGAAAATCTTTTAGTTGCCAAATGTTGGGACTAACATTCCATTCATAATGTTCCAGTTTTCAGTGTCTTATCCAAGGGGGCTTTTAAGGTAAACCTACAAATATTTGCCTTAACTTTAAGGGGAAATCCAGCTGCCATTCAAGAGGAAAGGAAAAGAATGGAAAGGGTTTATGGAAGAAAGGAAAGGGAGTGGGAAGGAAGATGAAGATAAAGTAAAACTCTTCTTATCTTACAGATTTCTTCTTTGGAAGCATCAGAGCTCAGTATTTGTGTGAAAGATGACTGAGTTTACTACTAGTCATGACAGTACTTTAGGTCTAATGTACATGTAACTCCAGGATTCTTTTGTTGTGGGATTTAGAATGTGTGCTATTCAAATATGGTAGCCACTAACCTCATGTGGCTATTTAAGTTTAAGCTAATTGAATTTAAATTAGGGACTCCTCTGGCTTTTTTTTTTTTGGTACCAGGCATCGAACTCAGGACCTTGTGCTTGCCAGGCAGGCGGCAGAACCACTGAGCTAAATCCCCAGCGCTAATTGAATTTAAATTAAATGTAAAATTCAGTTGCATTAGCAACATTTCAAATGCTCACTAGCTTCCTATGGCTCCTATATTGGACAGTGTAAGATATAGAATGTTGCCATCATATCAGAAAGTTTGTTTAGAAGGCACTGTTCTAGATGAGGTATATGAAAAGATGTTAAAAAGGACATAACAAAAGAAAAGGAAAACAAAAACACTACCACCAGGATCCTTGGTGAACATAGATATAAAAATCTTCAACAAAATACTAGCAAACCCAACTCAGTAGCACGTTATAAAATTATTTACTATAATCAAGTGAAACGTATTCCAGGGACGCAAGATGGTTTAACATACAAAAATAAATGAATGTGATACACCATATCAACAGACTAAAGAATAAAACTATGTGATCATCTCAATACAGAAGAAGCATTTGATAAAATTTAACAGTGCTTCATTCTGAAAATAGTGAACAAATTATGTATACAAGGAATATACCTCAACATAATAAAGACCATATATGTATAAGCCAGACAGTGACTAACATTATATGAATGAGTAAAACCTGAAAGCTAAGATGTAGAATAAAACAAATATGCCTAGTTTCACCACTTTCATTCAATATGACACTACAAGTCCTAGCCAAAGCAATCAGTAGGGAAAAAAAGAAAAAAGCCATCTGAATGGAAAAGAGGAATTCAAATTGTGACTGCCAATGACATGATCCTTATACATGTAAAACTCCAAGGAATCCACCCAAAAAATGCCCTCCTGAAACAACTATTAGTACTAACAAGTGAATTCAGCAAGTCTGCAGGATTCAAAAATCTACATTTTAAAAACATTGTTGCCATATACTAATAGCCAGTTATCTGAAATAGAAACCAAGAAAGCAGTCTCATTTACAATAGCGCCAAAAAATAAAGTTTATAGTGATAAATTTAACCAAAGAAATAAAAGCCCTGTACAATGAAAATTAATAAAACTTGCAATCTGTCAAAATACTAATAAGCTGGGTGTGGTGGCAGTTCAGGCCAGCCTCACACTTGGAACTATCCTCCTGCTTAATCCTTGTGAGTGCTAGAAGTAGAAGTATTCATCTCCATATCTAGACTGTGGTTGACTTATTCTTAATATTCAAATTTATCACCATAGTCATACGCTGTATTTCTTCTGTATATAGTGTTGTGAATTTCTTGTTTTTTTGTTTTCTTACTAGATAATGTTTTACCTGATTTAATATTTTATATCCAGAAAACTAATTCTTCAGTTTTTAATGTTATTCTAATTCAATTTCCACTTTTAGTATCATAAATTCCTCTCTTTCTGAAGGATCACTGATACCCAAATGGTTTTTCTTGTTCAGATATGTTACAGGAAGTAGAGTGAGAAGTGAAAATTGCTTGCTTGTGGTATAGGGTTCTTATTTCTAGAAAATTGCAGCAATTAAATGCAATAGGTATTTGCTTAAGTAAAAATTATTATGATTCCAGGATATAGCTATGACTAGCCAGTTGCAGGCCATAGCTCTTCCTTCTTCCATCATGGTTTTGTTGAAAGGATATTTTGAAAGGATTAGTAATATGGAATGTTTTTTGTTAAAGTAAACATTTCTCATTTGGAATCTTTTAGCATGTGCAGCTCGTGCTTTGCCAGCTTTATCTATATTAACATCACAAGGTTGCTTGCATAGATCACACTTTTCTACATAGGAATCTTAATAGTTCACAGTAAAGTGAGTAGTGGTGTGTGGATTTTAATACCAGTATTTCAGAACATAAAAAAATGCGAGGATATGTAACTAAGCTACTATCAACAACACATCTCTACTGAAATGTTCTTGTTGTGTTTTTTTTCATTTGTCTAAAACAAAATAAATTTAAGTACTTGTGTTTCTTCGTAGGTATAAGCGTGTCTTTTCAGTTGGAACCCATGCAATTACTACATATAATCCAAATACCTTAGAAGTAACAAATCAGGTAAGTATGTTAGAAACTGTTAGGTGTGTGTAAGAACCCTCTTTGAATTCTTTTTTTTTTTTTTTTTGGTACCGGGGATCGCCTCCTTGAATTCTTAAAGCTAGGATATGGCGCATTACCCCTGGTGTGAAATCAGTACTTTAGAATAGAAAAGTCTGATCTGAGATTAATATGCTTATATATAATGCTTTGTGCTTAGGACCAAAAAAATGGTTATTTCTAGGCTCTCAGATACAACTTTCTGACATATTACTCTGTAGTAGCCATTATATTTATGTAAAATTAGTAAATTCATTAAATTTTTATACTGTTACTAGTATAGGCATATTTTAGTCACGTTACAAGTATAATTGGTATAAAATACTTGTTATAGAAAGAAGCTTACTTGTTTATAAAGGTAAAACTAACTGTATAAGTAAACATATTTAAAGATTTTCTAGCTTATTTTATTTTATTTTTGGTACCGGGAGTCGAACTCTGGTCCTTGTGCTTGCACAGCAGGCAGCGAAACCACTGAGCTAAATCCCCGGCCCCTTTCTAGCTTATTTTAATTGTAACTTCGGTGTGTTTTACAGAATTCTTATTTATTTAGTTAGTTAGTTAGTTAGTTTTTTGGTACCGGGGATCGAACTCGGGACCTTGTGCTTGCGAGGCAGGCAGCAGAACCACTGAGCTAAATCCCCAGTCCCAGAATCCTTTTTTAAGTGGTTCTATGAGTAATCATAAAATGTTACTCCTTAATTCTATTCACTTTTATTTTAATTACTTTAGATTAATGTCACTCATTAATATTGGACTACAGATTTTTGTCATCTCTGACTAAAAGACCATAAATAATTTGAATTATAGAATTGCTATAACATTACTTCTAGATCTCCAGTATTTTGCAAAATTTTGCTCATTTAATCAGTGAGTATGAAATTACAGTAACAGAAATAATTTTTGCATTTTATTATATCATAGCAGTAGTTTAAAGAATCCGTTTCTTTTTCTTAGTGGCCTTACGGAGATATTTGTAGCATTAGCCCTGTTGGAAAAGGACAGGGAACAGAATTCAATCTCACATTTCGTAAAGGCAGTGGGAAGAAGTCCGAAACTTTAAAATTTTCTACAGAACACAGAACAGAACTTCTTACAGAAGCATTGGTAAGAAATATTCCATCTTCATGAACTAAGTTTCTCTATTCAGTTTTTTAACTGAAACAGTTAAATTAACAGATGCTAATATTCTCTGTTCCTGTATCTACTATGCTTAGTTTTTCTTAGCTTCTTTAACTTGATACTGTGAAACTTTCTGTTTTCTCTTATAGCAAGACTGGAAAATCCCTTACATTTAATAATTTATTAGCCTTTTTAATTGCATATGCAGGACAAAGCATTATTTCCCCGCCCCCCCAATACTGGGGATTGAACTCAGGACCTTGTGCTTGCAAGGCAGGTGCTGTGCCTCTGAGCTAGATCCCTAGCCTGGATCTAATCACTTTTACTGATCTTTGTACTAATAAAATTAATAGAACACCTATAAATGGACCAAAGCAAGTCAGTTGCTTGAATTTGAATAATTATTGCCCAGATACAGATATTAATGCTATTCATACAAATTAAAATTATTACAATAATCACATTTATTTCAGTAAATTTAAATAAATTTATATTCATAAATAGTTTATCAATAATTCTCTAAATTTTAACATGGAAATCTTTTGAGTACCCAATTGCTGATGTATGTAATATGCATTTAAACTGCTGTACCACAAATTAACTATATTACATTTTTAAAATACCATTTTAATATTTTCCTTAAGGAGCTATAATTTAATGATATCTTGTCTACTAAATCAACATCTTTCTTTGCATTATTGTAATCAAAGGCCCTCTGGGAAGCAGTACAAGCTTCCCAGTGGGACAGTTATGCAGTGGGCAAGAATGATCAAATTCAAATCAGAGCTATCTGGCAGCTAGACATACAAATTACAGTCCCATTGTGAATGTGTTAATCTGTTCTTCTTCAATAAAGTTCCAAACTTTTTATTGAATTGCATATGACTTTAACCACTTAACTGTTTACCTCAAATATCTTGAGCAACATATTTATGTACTGACTATTCTGAGCGTTGCTCAGTGTCATTTCAACCAGTCAATTCTTGAATAAATTTGATAAAATTGTCATTTTTGTATTTCCTGTTATCTGATAAAATTAATAAAATATATGCAATTTTTGGTCATCCTATACTTAAATAATTAGACTGGTAAGTGGTAAATAACAGGTTTTAGTAAACAAGTTAATCAGTTTGTGATTTTTATCTCTTTTAGGTAGAAAGGGCTGAACCAGGAGTCTTCCTTACCAATCTGTTATCATAAACTGTGATTATGTGCTTTCTTTCAGAGATTTAGAACAGATTTTTCAGAGGGAAAGATCACAGGAAGAGTAAGTATTTTACAACTATTAACATGTATTTTTATTTTTTAAAATGTTGCCCTTTATTGTAGAAATCATTCCATAACTTGTATCTTCCTATTATGGCAAAGATAAGGGAAAAGAGAAACATAAATTTAATGTTTCTTGCTATCATGTGATAGAGAGATGAATGTAGTTTTATCAGGAACCTCAAATAATCCTTAATTAAATTAAGACAATTTTAGCAGATGGGGAAAAGCATCAGGGAAACAAACAACAACAACAAAAACTATGGAGCATTAAAAACAATGCAGTATCATTCAGGTGGTCCTTACTCCGTATTCTAAGCAGAAATACCAATAAGCATCATACTGGTGATAATGCTTGTTGGAACAAGCAGTTGTTATTTGGTGTAGGAGGTTCTTATTTCAAAAGCATTAAAGTTTTAAGGTTTAGGCATATTAAAACTCTTATTACATGTTCTTGCACTGGATCTGGCCTGTACTAATGCTTGGCATGGCTCACTGACAGTTTTGGGGAACTCAGGGCTACTTACTGGAATCTTAACTTTCCCAGGCCCTCTGTACATCATGTTGCAGTAGCATTTAAGCTAAATCAGTAACTTTCAGGAAGAAGGCATGCTTTCTCTACTCCCTTGAAATATTGTATTTCTTACCATGAGCAGGTATTACTTTTATATTGAGAATAAAGTACTGTCTAAACTTATAGTACTATTCAGAGCCCTGGCTTCGGGCAAAAGGCAGAAACTAAATTCTAATATGCTGGCAAAACTATTCCCCTTTTTTAACACATTTGTGACAGTGCTCTAATTTATATGTCTTGCAGCCAGGCAGCTTGAATCACTGGTGGTACAGTACATGCATGACCATCTCATCTATGACTGTACTACTTATACCACCAGTGGTACAGGCACTCAGTGGGACAGACATGAGTGTACCACTGGTGGTTCAAGCTATCAGGAACATGTTAAACCCTCATCCTTTGTTTTTTTTGTGTGTGTTTTTTTTTTGATATTCTGCTGCTTGTTGTATCCCAGAGCCTCACTGATTTCAACTCTAGCAATTGGCTGGTTGGCCATGAGCTATTTAAAGTATTTTAATGGCAAGCTCCTTGTTTCTTTTTCCTGATGAGCCACAACCAAATTTCTATAAATCATAACTTGGTGTGCTTATTTTAATTATATTAGGTAAGTTTTCTGTATGTCTTATCTATGTGGAAAAACATTCTGTATGTAGATTTTGTCTCTAGGCTTTCCTTTATATCAGTAAATAGTCATTTAATAGTTTTCAAACTTTGAGATAGAAACAGTATTTTTAGAAGATTGAAGGATATTTCACCTAATTTTATAGCAGGAGTAAGAAATTCAAAGTGATACCTTTACCACTCCTCCAAAATGCTTAGGTTCTACCCCAAATGCTGTGCTGACATAACTACTCTTACATGAGTTGAATGTAGCCTGAGGCCTCCATTTGCCTTTGACAGACTCTTAAGTCAGAATCTGAATCAGACTCTGTCAAACTCCTTAAGGTTTGCCCCCTACAGTCTGTAAAGATAATGATCTGTTTTCATTATTTCATTAATGGCAGTTGATTATCTGCTGGAAGGAATGGACAATTTCGTTTGGAGTGGGTTTAGGGAATGGAAATAAGCCTAGTTTGAAAAACTACCATTTTTATGGCCTTTCCATTTCTACAAGAGGTATGGCAATCTATATATATTCTTGGCTGATGTAGGCCCTTTTGTCTTTCTTTAGAAATTTTTCATGGAACTGTGCTCTCTATATGTCACCATGGATCAGTGATGCCGAGGGGACATGATGTGATATGACCCTGTGACTGTCATTGCTGAGTTTAGTGTTGGAATATTTGTGGAAGTGTTTGTTCATTTATTAATGCCTTCTTTGCTGAACACCTAGAAGAGAATTTATTTCAGTACCAGAAGTAGTTATATTCTTGAGCAACCAGTTTATTTTTACCTTAAGAATTATATAATTTACCATGGATTCCTCTTCTTATGGATGGGTAGAAAACTGGTATTTGAGTGTAGATGGGATATTCATTTCACATCAGACACTTTGTAATCCTTACGTTTTTCTGCCTCACTTTTCCTTTACTTTCAGTTTAATTTCTTCTGCATCACATCATGCAACCTTAATTAAATCTTCTTTTCTTTTTACTGTAAAACTAGAAGCCAGATATGCTGGTGATACACAACTGTAACCTCAGCACTCTGGGAGGCTGAGGCAGGAGGATTGAAAGTTTGAGTTCAAGGGCCAGGGATTTAGCTCAGTGGTTCCACCACCTGCCTTGCAAGCAGAAGGACCTGAGTTCGATCCCGGGTACCAGAAAAAAAAAAAATTGGGGGCCGAAGATTTAGCTCAGTGGTGCAGTGCCTGCCCGGCAAGCACTGGGCCCTGGGTTCGATTCCCAGTACCAAAAAAGAAAAGTGAAAAAAAAAGCCCCTAAAAAAACAAAAAACAAAACCCTTTGGGCTGGGGATTTAGCTCAGTGGTTCTGCTGCCTGCCTGGCAAGCGCAAGGACCCAAGTTCAATCCCCGGTACCAAAAAAAAAAAAAAAAAGTTTGAGTTCAATCTAGGAAATTTCACAATTTAGACCCAGTCTCAAAAATTAAAAACAGGATCTGGGACGTAGATCAGTGCAGAGCCCCTGGGTTCAGTCCCTAGTACTGCATGCATCAGTCAGTCAATCAATCTGTCTAGATAGTAAATGGATATTGATCATTCTAATCATTTGATACTGAATTTTAATATATGATAATTTTAATATATTAATAATTTTGTTATATAAATTTTAATTCATGAAGGAAATGCTATCATCTACATGGAGTTTAACTTGCTCATGTAAACAAAACTCAAAGTTAACTTTTCAGTGGTTTGATTAAAAATGCCGAAGGTCACATTTAGATTTCCGAATTTTTTGTTTTTTTCTTTTAGTATGCAAAAGAAAATATATATATTAATGTATGGAGCCAGTCTGTTGTTCTGATTGAATATTGTAATTTCCTGAAATGGGACTTTTTGGTATCATGGATTAAAAGAATGCTTCCTCAAAAGTTGAAATCTGTTTCCTAATAAAACTCTTTCAGCATTTCAGAATACATTTCTATTTAGGATTTCTTTTTTTTCAATGTGAGATGGAATCTCACTGTGATGCCCAGGCTGGCCTCAATTTCCTGTCTCAGCCTCATGAGTGAGTGGGATTATAAGCATCAGCCACCATGCCTGGCTTCATTCTCTTTTTTTCTTTTGATTTCTATAAGAGTGGCTTAAAATTGTTTCACAAAATATTGTAACCCCAAATCTTTGCTCTTTGCGAAGAAAAAAGAACATACTATCTTAAGTTAGAGTGATTTTTTTTTTTTCTTCTTTTTTTTGGTGGTGATGCTGGGAATTGAACCTAGAGCCTTGTTCAAATGATCTACCACCGAGCTATATCCTCAGCTAGAGTGAGTGTTCTTTGCTTTTGGGGGGGGGGTTAGTTTTTTGAGGCAGGATCTCCCTTATGTAGTTTGGGGGGGACTCAAACTCACTATGTAGCCCAGGCTGGCCTCAAACTCACAGTGATCCTCCTGCCTCAGCCTCCTGAGTGCTAGGATTACAGGTGTGCCACCACACCCTGCTAGAGAGAGCATTCTTAAGTAAATATCTCCTCTACCTCCAACTAAATGTTTTAGCATTTGGAAAATAGCTGTAAATATTTTATGGTAATCTTAAATATGAACTTAAAAGTAATACTGTTTCTCTCTAGAGGTATAACTGCTATAAGCATCACTGGAGTGATACAAGAAAACCTGTCATATTGGAAATAACTCCTGGAGGCTTTGACCAAATTAATCCTGCAACCAACAGAGTACTCTGTTCTTATGACTATAGAAATATTGAAGGCTTTGTAGATCTCTCTGATTATCAAGGAGGATTTTGTATACTTTATGGAGGGTTTAGTAGATTGGTAAGTATTACTTTTTAAAGGATATGATGATTTGAAGAAAAGAGGTTTTAGACTTGATTTTGAAATTTCATGTGAATCCTATGGTATTAAAAGTCTAGGCTTTGGTGTCAAAGGTACCTGAACTGGAACCTATTTGCTGTCTTCCAAAATGAAGAGAGCAGTATGCATATCATGTTATTTGTCTGTGTGTGTGTGTGTGTGTGTGTGTGTGTGTGTGTGAAGATTAGGTGAACTAATTTATGAAAAATGCTTTACATAGTGGCTTAGTGTTCACTAAATGTTGATTGTAGTTATTGTTTTTCGCTAGGTACATGTATTAATGTGTTACCTCAAAGTTCCTAAGCTTTTGTAATGTAAAATCTCTTTATTTTTACAAAGAGTGTTCTTGTCAAGCTATTCGTAATATGCAATATGAGTGTTCATCGAAACTTGACATTTGGAATTCATTGCATATTTTTGACTTAGAGTCTCAGTTATAAGTAAATTGTGGAATATAGCAAAAACTACTTAAAATGCCAAGGACTTGTTTTTAATTGGTATTAGAAGCTGAACTTTTGAAATATCCTATTTTCTTAATAAAATTTAAACCCCAGATCTCAAATTTAAACAATGTAGAGTTTCTCTAAATTGACCAAATTGACCTTATTTATAAGATTTCTTTCTCTTGAGAATTTTAATTCTATAGCTGCCTTAGTGGCCTGTGAATACTCCCCTAAGATTTAATATTTTGTGCATAAAATACCCTTCTCTGGACATCAGAGCCAAAGCAAGCCTAGAACTTTTAGGTACATAAGAGGGTAGATTGTAGCCAAAGGAAAATAAATAGAAAGATGAGATTGAGGAGGCAGTAGATAATCTGGTTTAGAAAATTTGTTTTTCAGATGTATAAGTCTGTTTCTACCCTAGCATTCACTTTTTCCTCACTTGATTGATACCATCCAAGTTTCCCTAATCTAGGAACACAGAAATAGATATTCTCTTACCTCTGAGTTTAGAGTTAAAAAATGAAAGCCCAAAGGAAAAACCTAGTTTTTGTTTTTTCCACCCTAAAGCAGCCTAAAGTGTGCTGTCCTGGTGTTATCCAAAGGCTGTCTTTTTCCTGGGCAGGAGAAATTTGCAATGATTAGCTTCTTGGTGGAAAACAAGCCAGATTTCAGAAATGTGGTCTTTCAGGCTCTAACAATAGATTTGTATCACAGTTATTCAACCAAGCCATATCCTCACAGATACTGAGAGACAGCTCTGTATTCTCTTTTAAACTAGCTAAAGTAAGTCAGTTCACTATAAATATGATACCAGAACAGATTCTTTTAACCTTCTGCATCACTGGCAACTGTAATGAGCTGATAGGAATAAAACACATTTTTATACATCATCTGTATAATCCAATGTTTCTCTCCAAGGAGCTATTGGGATTCTGGGCAGAACAGTCTTTCTTATGTGGGGTATTTCTGCTCTGCCTTTTTGCATTTCTAGCCTCCTTGCTAGTATCAGTATGTACCTTATCCTTTGTAAATATAGCTGGAGGTTGTTTTGTAACATCAGTAGGGCACTGACTGGTCAACAGTTAAACATTCTTCAACATAATCTTGTAAGGAAACCCAGTATATAAAACAAATCAGAGCTGCCTTATATAACACCTATCACTTCGCTGGCTTGGCTGGAATTCATTGGGCCACTGTTAGAAATATATATATGAGATAATTTCTGCTCAGTGAGTTGAATGCAAAGCTCCACATCCCAGACTTTATGGTGGTTTCAATTTAGTAGGAGTCTTTCAGTTACAATGCACTGCTTATTTACTTCTAATAACTTCAACTTTTTTTTTTCCACTAGAATGCTAACTTAATCTTTCCTGTGAGTTAAATATAATCACATTTTAGTTGTTTCATAAACATTTGTCTTTATAAATTTCAAAATTTATGCAGCATTTATTTGCATCAGAGCAAAGAGAAGAGATAATCAAAAGCGCAATAGACCATGCCGGCAACTACATAGGTATTTCATTGCGCATCAGGAAAGAACCTTTAGAATTTGAGCAATATTTGAATCTTCGCTTTGGAAAATATAGCACTGATGAATCCATCACATCTTTAGCAGAGTTTGTGGTCCAAAAAATATCACCTAGACATTCGGTAAGACCAATGTATGGAAAATAAGAATCTGTTCATCTCATTTTGACAGCTTCATTAATAAAGTTCTAACATGTCTCAATTTCCTGTGTATTTGAAGGAACCTGTGAAAAGGATTCTAGCACTTACAGAAACATGTCTAGTAGAACGAGATCCAGCAACCTATAATATTGCAACATTGAAACCTTTGGGAGAAGTAAGTTTCAGCACTAGCTTACATGAGATTTCTTCCTATTGATAAGTTTGAATACTTTTCTATTTTAATATTTACTCATTCTTAAAGAATGGAAAATATGCAGAATCTGTATTTAATTCTTAACATACTTCTATTTATTGATTTTAGAACAATAAAGATTGCAAAAATTACTTTCCAAATACATAGAGTGGAACTTTTTATTTAATAATTGTATGAAAGGCTAAGAGTGCAGTGTTTGCCTAACATGAACAAGACTGGCTTTGATCCCCAGCACCATATAGGGGAAATAAAATGAAAATTTGAATGAAACTATGCAACTCTTAAACTGAGACTAAGCAATTTGTAAACTCTGATATTGTAAACGAGTTACACTCTTATTTTAAATACTGTCTTTGTAAACTAAATGATGTGCAGTTTTTATAATGAAGTACTATAAAACTAAACTTACTTTGTTTTCAAAAGGTATTTGCATTGGTTTGTGACTCAGAAAATCCACAACTTTTTACCATTGAATTTATAAAAGGACAAGTTCGGAAATACTCTTCAACAGAAAGGTATTTGTATTTTTTATTGTTAATTTATCCAGCTTTTGAAATCCCAGCCTGTGCAAGACAAAGTGCTTGAGCAGAGAAGAAAGATAAAGATTTGTACTGTAGAACTGTAAAATTATTTATCTTGGGAAGATATTGTTGCATATTTAAAATGACCTTCAGTTTTCAAATTCCTAACGTCAGTAAAAATGGTGATTTGATTTTAAATGAAATGATGAAAATAAAGTATATTTGTATAACTAATGCTCTCAAAGTATTTTAAAATAGCATTATTAAGTTGTTCAGATAACAGCAAGTTCTTTTAATATAAATACACTTTACCAATTTTCTAGAATTATTGATGTTACTCTAACATGGCCATTCTTGTGAAAACCTGTGATCTGTTACAGCTCATAAGCCCCTGTGAGGCCCACACGTATAATTGCTGTTTTACTGTGTATGTCTGTATCTCCCTTTGTGTACTTTGTGAGAGTGGCAGTTCTTACATCCTAGATGGTTCTTTCATACCATTGTATTGAGTTGGACTGAGACTGGTTTTTAAATTTAGTCCACACAGTTCTAGTACATTTTGCCACTGTATACAGTATTATCTTAATTGAGATTTCTCCCTCCCTTTTTCCCTTCATCCTTCCATCTATTCTTCCCTTCTTCTTCCCTCCCTCTTTCCTTCTTTATCTTCCTATAGTACCAAGCAGTAACTTTTTTTTTTTTTTTTTTTGGTACCGGGGATCGAACTAAGGACCTTGCGCTTGCGAGGCAGGCACAGTGCCACTGAGCTAAATCCCCGGCCCCAGTAACTTTTTTTTTTTTTTAAATCTTAGCTTTCTAGGATAAACAAGACTGGAAATTTAAGGAAAAGGTTAGATGTTTTCCTGTTATTTTAAGGAGAGAGAATAGCTTTTAAAAAAAAGAAGTGCAGAAGTATTAGAGGAACGATCTCAGTGCTCAATTTTTCATATCTCACTATTCAGTTTGTCAAGTGTTTTATGAGCAGTATCCTGTTTAATCCAGATGGTAGCCCTAGGAAGAAAGTGCCATTATCCCCTAAAACTGTAATGCTTACATGTGGAAAGTAAAGCAACTTCTCTGAGTTGAGTTAGGAGAAGATTTCTTAGATAAAATACCAAAAACAGTTCAGATTGATTGACTTCATCAGATTGTTAAACTGGAGAACATTAAGAAAAGATAAGCCACCAATAGGGAGAAAGTGTTAAAATATAACCTGATAAAGGACAGTTTTCTAGAATATGTAAAGAACTCTTACAACTCAACACTAAATAACTGGATAGTAAATGGGGAAAAGATTCAAATAGACACCTCTCTAATGAAGATATATGAATGGTAAGTAAAATGGAAAAATCATGAGTTGTTAAGGAAATGAAAATTAAATCTACCGCAAATCCACTAAAATAGTTAACATCAAAAAGACTGCCAGTGCCAATTGTTAGCAAGGAGAAGCTAGAACTCTTATATTTTTGTTGAGAAGAAAACCATTTTAAAAAATACTTTAGCAGTTTCCTAAAAGATTAAACATATACTTACCACATGACCTCTCTAACTCTACGACTAGCTATTTACCCAAGAGAAATGAAAATATATGTCCACAGAAGCACTTGCATGTGAATGTTCAAAATAGTATTTCATACTAGTCAAAACCCAGAAGTAATCCACATATTCAACACTTTATGAATGGGTAGACAAAATTTTGTATGTCTCTACAATAGGCTCCAACTCTTAGTACACGTCACAACTTGGATGAACCTCAAAAGCATGTGATGTAATAACCAAAACACAAAAGACTGCATATTAGATAATTCTGTTTTTATGAAATTTGTTTAAAAAGCAAAACTGTAGAAACAACATATCAGTGGTTACCTGGGACTGAGGAGGTTTTGTTGTTGTTTTGCAAATAGGCACAAGGAAACTTTGTGGTGATGAAAGTGTATCAAAGCTGAATTATGATGATGATTTTACAACTGTATAAATTTATTAAAATTTGTAGCTGGGTGTGGTGGCATATGCCTAGAATCCCAGAACTTGAGAGGTGAAGACAGGAGGATTGTTGCAAGTTTGAGGCCAGGCTGAACTACACAGTGAGACTCTGTCTCAAAAATACCAAAAAAAGGGATGGGTATTTAGCTCAGTGGCACCATGCCTACCTCACAAGCTCAAGGTCCTGAGTTCAATCCCTGGTTACACCCCCCCCACCAAAAGAAAAGTTACTAAAATTTGTTAAATATTTTAACTGAGTGAATTTTGGGATTTCCATGTTAGGCCCAAGTAAAGCTGGTTATTAAAGATAATATTTAGGGCTGGGGATTTAGCTCAGTGGTTCTCCCTCCTGCCTTGCAGGCGCAAGGATCCGAGTTCGATCCCCACTACCAAAAACAAAAAAACTAATATTTAAACAAGGCCAAAACCAGAAGCATTAAATACAAGGTCACATAGCAGCAAGGTGAGGCAGTAGTATTTGTACAGCAGATTTTGTCTTAAAACTCTGCTTTGTACTTCCTGTTGGACCAGAATACATCCCCAAGCAGGTTACTACTGAAGGGCTTATGCTGCATTCTGAATCACAATTGTCTTTTACTGTCAATCCTGACACCTTTTTACTTCTAACCTTCTTTAGAGATTCCTTGTTAGCAAGTTTGCTGGATGGAGTAAGAGCCTCTGGTAATAGAGATGTTTGTGTAAAAATGACACCAACCCAAAAAGGCCAACGATGGGGGTTACTCAGCATGCCTGTGGATGAAGAAGTAGAGAGCCTTCATCTCAGATTCTTAGCTACTCCTCCAAGTAAGTATTAATTTTAATGTCATATTTCCATCCATCTACTTGATAACAGTTTAAGAAATGCAAGCCTCTAAATCTTCTTTTTGAACCTTCAAATCTTATAGATGGCAACTTTGCAGATGCTGTATTCCGGTTCAATGCTAATATTTCATACAGTGGAGTTCTTCATGCAGTGACACAGGATGTAAGATAAATTGTATCATGATTTGTTCATTGTTACTAACTTTTGGTACAGACATTTTTCTGAAAAATTCTTCCTTCACCCAGGGTCTCTTCTCAGAAAACAAAGAGAAACTGATCAATAACGCTATAACAGCATTATTGTCCCAAGAGGGGGATGTTGTTTCTTCAAATGCAGAACTTGAGAGTCAGTTCCAGGCTGTGAGGAGGCTTGTAGCTTCCAAAGCTGGTTTTCTGGCCTTTACTCAGCTTCCAAAGTAAGTTATTTTTTGAATTTAGTTTCTCTTAGAGATTTTCTTTTAATAGCACAACATTTATTGGTACATTTTAGGCATACATAATAATACTCATCATAGGGAATTTGCACCTCTGAGTGTACATGCCGCCCCTTTTTTCCCATGACCTGCCCCCTCCTCAACCCCCCTCCCCTCCCTTTGAACAGAAGCTTTGTTTCCATTTTTTCTATTTTCACTTTTTTTCTTTTCCCTTCCTTTCTGTCTCCCCCCTCCCTTGTTCTTCTTCCCATTTGAACATTTTCTTCCCCTTTCTCAATATTTGTTACACATTTTAGTCCTTATTTTCACTTTTGACTTCTCACACCGGAGAAACAATACGGTATTTAAACGTGTGTCTGATTTATTTCACTTAAGAACATGGTCTCAAGGTCCATCCATTTAGCTATAAATGTCTAAAGCTCATCCTTCTTTATGGCAGAGTAGTACTCCATTGTGTAAAAAACCCATCTTCTTTATCCATTTGATGGTTGATGGGTATTTGGGCTGTTGCCAAGATTTAGCTATTGCAGTCTATGCCACTTGAAAACATGGGTGTGCATATACCATTGTGGTATGATGCTTTTAATTCTTTCTGGAAAATACCAAGAAGAGGAATAGCTGAATCAAATGGAACCTCTAGTTTTAGTTTTTTGAGGACTCTCCACACTGATTTCCACAGTGGTTGCACCAGTCTACGCTCCCACCAGCAGTGGAGAAGGGTTCCTTTTTCCCCACAACCCTGCCAACATTTGTTATTGGTTGGTTTCTTGATAATAGCTATTCTTTCTGGAGTGAGATGGAATCTCAGTATTGTTTTAATTTGCACTTCACAAATGATTAGTGATGTTGCACATTTTTTCATATATTTATTTGCCATTTCTACTTCATCTGAGAAGTCTCTTTTCAGATGCCCATTTTTGGATTGGGTCTTTAAATTTGGGGGGGGTATCTGATTTTTTTTGAATTCTTTATATATTCTAGATAATAGTCCTTTGTCTCTTAGACATTTTAAACAACTCAAAAATAGAAAATAATGAATATGTTATTTCTTTATGTCTGACTAACCCTGATACCTTTTATATAGTGATTTGGTAGTTTTTCTTCATGAAAAAGAAAGATGAAATGAAAAAGGAAGGTGAGCAGTTCTGATGAGGGCTATTAGTCTCTACTCACTTCACTAGTAATATCGCTGACTCTTTGTCTTATAGTTTCGGTTAACCTTAAAAAAATGATTCTGTAAATGTGGATCAAAATAATTACTGCCATTCTTCAGTGGAAAATTAAGATAGCCTATTTTAGTAACACATATTCTGTTATTGCTATTATGTGGTGGTTTTTTATTCCAAAAGGTTTCGGGAACGTCTAGGAGTGAAGGTAGTAAAAGCACTCAAGAGGAGCAACAATGGAGTAATCCATGCAGCAGTTGATATGCTTTGTGCCCTTATGTGTGTGAGTAGTAATTTTCTTAAGGAAATGATTTTCTTAAATTGACTGGAGGTTTTAGTTTCCAAACACCATGATTTTCATTTTAATAATGAAGTCTATGTATTTCCCAGACTGCTCTCATAGCCATTTGTTCAGAAAATGTTTAGCACATCTTATATACCAGACAGTGTTCTGTGTGCTAAAAATATGAAAATATTAAGACACAGTGGCTTCCTTCCTTCAAATTGCTGACAGTCTAGTAAGGTAGGCATATTGTATATAATAGAAAGTAGTAGTGCCATGGGATTACTAAAAAATAGCCCTGAATTTTTGTTTGGTTGTGCAAGTATGATGAAGTACTCTGTCTTTCTAGAAGCTACTATATTTGTTCTGAATCTTAAAGGATGGGCAGGTATCCTTCAGTTCTGGAAAAGCTTTATTATAACAGAAAATAGTATACATAAAGACATGCTTAAGAAGCAACAAATAAATAAATAGTCTGCATGGGGTGGTAATTGTGGCAGCTAGAGATGTACCCAGAGACACTCCTTAAAAAACCTTCTAATTAGAGGAGCTAGAGTGTTATCTTTAGTAAGGAAAAACTTAGTGAAAGATATTTCAGCAAGGGAGTAGAACAAGATCAGAACTGACTTGCCGAAAGCCCACTGTGTGGTATGTAGATAATAGAGTAGAGGTGAACTTGGAAGCAGGTAGATCAAATTATGTTAGAAATGAGTGCTAAGATGATGTCAGTGACGGGCTAGAGAGGGGACATATTCAGCAGCTATTTGAATTGGTGATGTCTGTGTGGAAGGAAGGATAGTTGTTTAGTATATCTTTGTAGTTGCTGATTTATGTTTCACGTGAACCATCTGGAATATTTCCTTGTATGAAATATTTTAGGTAAGCTTAGTGGTATATAACAAATCACTTGTATAGAACCTTGTATTTGTCCCCAAAAGTGAATTAAAGTTTATCTATTTATTATCTTTACCACAAATAATTTCATTAAAGAATTGAGATAACTAGAACACATTGAGTCCTTATCACATATTAGGTATTGGCTATGAATTTTACATGGATCATCTTGTTTAAGCTTCGTCATAGTCCTATGAGATAATTACTGTTAATCCTGTTTTACAGCTGAGGCAAATGAGACTCTGAAAGATAAAGTAACTTAATGTTGCCTATAGTCTCCCAATTAGAGTCAGTATGAAATTAGGATCTGAACTGCTTCTAACCATAATGTTGGAATGCTTTTGTACCCAGTTAACCCAGCAGTCAAAAGATAATCACCTTAAGATAAAGCAGTATGTTACTAATTTTAATACTTGATTTTAAATGTTAACTTTTGTCATCTGAAATTTAAATTCAAGAAGGTAGGGGTATTTGCCTTTTAATAAGGAAGTGTGTGGCTTTTGAAAGAATATCTTGTATGAGTATATAACCAGTTACTTGTCAGCCAGATTATCCATAAAATCTGATAAAACTCAAGAGAAACCATCAATTCTGACTGCTTGTCTTATCACGAGTTTCTTTTTGGCTTTATACTTTTAAAGCCTATGGTTTTTATTCTTTCAGTGTATAATGAATATGCTTTATAAATGATTTTTTGTAATGCCAACACATGACACTGCTTGTGAATTACTATTTTTAATCAATAGCCCATGCATGATGACTATGACTTAAGACAAGAACAGCTAAACAAAGCTTCTCTTCTCTCTTCAAAGAAGTTTCTGGAAAACTTACTGGAGAAATTTAATTCCCATGTGGTAAGTTGTAATTAAACCTGTTTTCATGATTATTAACATTATTGAAAGATATTCTAGAAATGCACATGAACTTTTTGTATTGCTAACGATAAAATGATAAAATACTTTGTGATAAACTACTTCATTTCAGTACTGTATCCATTGATCTGAGAATGATATGTTGTAAAGCTGTTAAATTTCTACAGTGATATTCCAGGTTTTTTATTCTTCTCTTTAAAAATGTCATTGTGAAATAAACTGTTCTTTAAAAATTTTTACTGTAACTGACTACCAGTCCCTGAGTCATTGGTAACTGTTTTGGAGATGAACATTCTAAAACATCTATAAGAACATGAAGAAATTGCCAGAGTTTTCAAGTATCGGTAAAAGGGTGTTTTTTTTTCTTATTTAAGTATACATCTTATTTAGTATACACATTTGAGGAATCTCAGTTATTCTCAAGAAGTTTGGCTGAATTTTAATTATATTTCTTTGAGGGTTATTGACAGTGGACTTGTTGCCACATTAGCAAAGGAAATATTACTTTAGAATCATCAAAATTTGAGCCTCATATTGAGAAATGAAAGTCAGTGTTTATGTCCGACATAGAGAATAAGGGAAAGGAACACGTTACTGGTGTGCTTTAACTAAAGTTCCCTATCTCTGAGTCCTAAGGCAGCATGTTGCTTGTTTCAGGATCATGGGACTGGTGCCCTAGTTATTAGTTCACTCTTGGACTTCCTTACCTTCGCCCTCTGTGCTCCATACAGTGAGACAACTGAAGGGCAGCAGTTCGATATGCTCTTAGAGATGGTAGCCTCCAATGGAAGAACTCTCTTTAAACTCTTTCAGGTAAAACTTTGTGCTTTTCTTATTTGATAACAATCTAAGAGAACCACTTTTTGGGTCAGATTATGTTTTTGTTTTTTGCATGCTGGGCATCAACGCCTGTGCCTCGCCTTCTGCACGCCGGGTGAATGCTCTCCCACTGACCTACCCCTATTTGGGTCAGCTTGTTTTTAAAATATTATGTATATGCTTCCATTATAATGACACATGCAAGTATTGTGGCATTAAGATATTTTAGCTCCCAGGTTTCTTGGTGTTTGATGTAGAGCCCTGTTGATGGAGATTGACTGCTGTTTTGACTACCTTGCTGATCTTTCCCATCCTAAATGTAGTGAAAAACTCGTTTTCCTATAGTAGGCCCAAAATTCCCTTTTTCTTTACAGATTTCTGAATAAGATGAGATTTAGCTGGGCCATTAATGGAAAATGTGTTATTCCGTGTAATACTATAGGGCTTATTGTATAAATGTATTTGTCTGTAAATTTTTATATTTTTGTTATTTTACTACAAACAGTATGTATCATTCTAAAAATAATAATTACTTATGTGTCACCTGTATCCTACTAATATAAACTCTGTTTGCAAATCTGTATCTGTAAAGCTGTACTATAAGATTACCTAAAATATTTAACCACACTCTGATCTGGCTTTGAGATATATCCTTTCCTGTGACCCATCATCTTGCATAAAATGGTATTTCTCCTTAAGAGCAAAAGGTAAATGTGTTGGAAAAAAGTCTGTTTTATTCACTGATACTTTTTCTCCTTTATTTTATAGCATCCTTCCATGGCAATTATAAAGGGAGCTGGATTGGTTATGAAGGCTATAATAGAGGTGAGAGAACAATTTTGAAATTTTAAAGTTTCTTGAATGTTGATTGTTTTAATTGCCTTTCATTCTTTTATGGGAAACATGCAATTCTTTAAGTAATTTAAATCTTAAGAAATTTTATAACTACAGAAATATTCCTTAATAATAAATAAGAGTTGGGCCAGGGATTTAGCTCAGTGGTTTTGCTGCCTGCTATGTAAGCGCAAGGACCCGAGTTCGATCTCCAGTACCAAAAAAAAAAAAAAAAAATCAACAAATAAGAGTTTTTATTAAGTATAGAGCAAATAAATTTGTTCATGACTTGTTTTACTTTAAAATTAAGTTAGCATTTTTTTCTCTTATTCTTTCATTGAGAGATGATGAAAGCATTGAAATCTTAAGCTACTGAATTACATATAAAAATATTAATGTAGTTCATAGCAATGTGGTATCAAATAATAATGGGAAGAAAAAGTTCCTTATGTTAAAGTACATTTGTAATCGAGCTTTATATTAGATCATGAAGGTACTTTTTCTTGTAGTTTGTTTTGGCTTTTTAAAAGATAAGATCATGATTATGAATATTAACTGCATACTGCCCCCCCATTTGTAATGACATCACATCTGAGTGGCTTTTTAATTCTTTTGTTGTTATAGTAGCAATTTAGATAAAATTTAAATGTTTACCCCAACCAACTCAGCTTTTGTGGTACATCAGATATAGGTCACAACAAAATAACAAGCAGTTAGTATACCCTAAAGTATCCCTTAAACAAAAAGATACAGGTATTGAAATGGTTGGACCATCAAAGATTTTTTTGTTGCTTTGTTCTTTTTTGGGTTTGTTTGTTTTTTTTGAGGGGGAGTTGTTTTCGGTTTGTTTGTTTTTTTGGTACAGGGGATCGAATTCAGGACCTTGCGCTTGTGAGGCAGGCACAGCACCACTGAGCTAAATCCCCGGCTGTTCTGATTTTTGTCTTTGGATTTTTTGTTTTGTTTTGTTTTTGGGGGGTTTTGTGGGGGTTTTTTGGTGTTTTTAGTGCACATAAACTACCAAATGCTCATTTTTACCCTCTAGCTAATGGGTTCTATGCTCAGTTTTAACTTCCAAAATTAAGCAGCACATCTTTGACTTTTATATAGCTTATGGTAGCCAAGGACAGTTAGGACTGTCGAGCCAAATAAAAGTGTACTCCTGACCTTGGTATACCAATATGTTACCCTTCCTATAATATTTGCCATTTATTCATTATGTACACAAATATGTATCATCAGGTATAACTTGGCTTCAGGTACAAACCACATGTTAGATTCATACCTAGTAATTAGAGCTAATATCTGCAAAAAGACTTTATACAGTATGTAAGTACTGGAAAGTATTTTATTTTGCCTGATTCTAAAAGCTGTATGTGCTCTTTGAAGAAAAATTTTTATGTACAGAAAAAACAAATAATAAATCACATAAAATTATACCAACCAGAGTGGTGAATTTCACCTCAGACTTGTATGCTGTTCAAAGATACATATGTAAAGATACACACTATATAGATAATACATACTCTTTTGATATAAATTGTATTTATACCTTATACTTTTTTCACTAGTGTATCTTTTTCTTTTCAGCAGTTTCTTAAATATCACATTGCTTAATTTGTAATTCTTTAATCACTTTTGATTGTCTTATTTATAAGAAAAAGTCAGAATGAAAAGAACCACCCCAAATGTCCCATAATCTTAAAAAACAAAAAAAGAATTTTTTTCACCATGAAAATGAGTATGTAGCAACTATAGCAAGCCAGATTTGTAAATGCCTTCTGTAGGAATTGCTGATTTCCCTGAGTCACCTTTTTCCTTTGTTGGCTGTTATAGAACCAAGGAATGAACCTAATTTACTATTAAATTTAGTAAAGCATCATTCATAAGGAAAATTCATGTGGAAACTTTTGAACCTCATTCCAAAAGCAAATACTACCTTAAAAATTACCTGTACTACTACCCCACTATTATTTTTGGATAATTAGAAGTTGCATTTTAAATTTTTTATTCTATACTGGATGACTGTTTTGTTTAAAAATGTAAAATTAGTTTTTTAAAGCTGGAATAGCTTTGTTTTAGATTGCTGCTTTAGGGATCATCTTACCCTTTTTCCAAAGGAAGGTGACAAAGAAATTGCTACAAAAATGCAGGAGCTTGCGCTAAGTGAAGGTGCCTTACCTCGACACTTGCATACTGCGATGTTTACAATAAGTTCAGATCAAAGGATGCTTACAAATAGGTAGGTTATTTAATTTAATTTGCTGTAAATTAACTGCTATTTAGATATTACATAAATTTAGATATTTATGGATTTACATATTACATAAAACAAACTGAATAGATGTTTGGATTACACAAATGTTTCATTTTCTTTTGATCCACCTTGTTTTTTTCTTTTCCTTGTAAAAGGATTGTGCTGCCATGATGATGATTCCTGCCTGTACATAATTTGGGGTGGGGAACAGGTACTGTTCCTTGTTTAATCCCACTGTTTTATCAGGTTCAGCCAGTCATGGGACTGGAACATAGAAAAGAGTACCTACCCATGTCCAAGCCTTTTCTTTTGTTTCCTGTGACTATCTTGTATGCATATAACTCCATGTGGGAACCTTTAATTTTTAAATACCTTTGGTCACTTAGCTACTTATAAAAGAAAACCTGAAATACATTTTCAATATCAACTAGGCTTATCCTAAATCTTTTATAAAAACAATTTGAAAACCAATTTCCCTCTTGGTAAATTGTCATCTTTCTTACAGTAATTATTCAAATGTATGGAAACATTAGTATCCCTTTACTCCAACCTATATGAATTCTGGTTTTGACTTTTGTGTTTCCTGATATGTGACTGTTTGAGCTATCATAAGCATACCATATTGTAGTCTTACTAAAAACAATGAGTATCATAAATATATTGAGTCATAATTTTTACTTTTGAAAAGTAGTAGCATAAACTGCTGATTTATATTCACTTTCTGTTAGTATTATAAATTTCTATTCTTTGTCACATACTGCCTTGCCAATAGTTCTTATACTAGTGTAAGATGCTGCTTGGTTCCCTCATTATGTTATTCACAAAAGTAGTTTTCTCTCTTGGTTGAGAGGACAGAAACATGAGGAAGATTGTTTCCTTCATACTGTGTAAGCAGTACTAGATCCCATCTCTCATTAAAATAGAGACTGCTATCTTATTCTATTAAACCTGTGTGCTGCTAGATGTTTGCTTGATATGGTCCTCTTTATCATAATCAGTTAAATTCCCTACTGTGATTAATTAATGTGCTTAATGAAAACATTTTAATTTGAAGAAAACAATGTACAGTCTGGGTTTTGCTACTAAGTATTATTTTGGGAATATATGTGTAAATCTGTAGATAGTTGTTCAGTTATTTCCCTTAGGACTACTCTGACATTAAATGTTCAAAGTTCACCAAAGTCTAGAACAGTCAGTGGTAACATAGGGTTCCTGCTGCTGAAGTGCTTTCAGTATAGGAGGCAGTATTGTCAGGGGATTAACATTAGTAACTAACTCACAGATTCAGAATGGATCTTAGACTTTCACATTAAACCAAAAATATGTTTATAGCTTTTAAGTGGAATGAGCAGGATAATTTGCTGTAAGGGCTTTTAGGTTTTGTCTATACTCTAAAACTGAAAATATTTTTATCTCTGACCTCGTCAAGAAAGGTTTTCTTAGAACATATAATTGTTGACTTTTGCTTGTGTTCAGAATTTCACATAATGCCAGAATATTATTGTTGTACGAATTAATTGTATCACCAAATCCAGTTGTTTTTATAACATTTTTGCTTTCTTTAAATGGATAAGAAAAAAATCTACTTGTTCTAATCCACTGAAAATTAGTGTAGCTATCAGAAAAGCTCTTCAGTTTGGAGAAAATTTCAAAATATTAGTATTTGAAATATCTCAAAACTTCTCCACATTAAAATACAAATATTTAGTAATTTTTAACATCAGAATTTTTTTTACTGTAGCCATATTTCTTATTTGATATTTTGTTCTTAAAAATTCCTTTCTGTTCTAGCTGAGATAAAGCAGCAAACCTTTCTCAACGTCTGCTTTTTTCAGACAGCTAAGTAGACATTTAGTGGGTCTCTGGACAGCTGATAATGCAACTGCAACAAACTTGTTGAAACGCATTTTGGTAAGTTAATTGAGAAACTGCCAAGAGTTTGTATTCTTATGTAATAAAATTTAATCATGTTATTTGTACTATTAAAGACACTTTTTGTTTGGTTGTAATTAGAAAGATATTTATGGAAAGATTAACATAAGATAAATGTTAGCCTTAATGGCCAAAATTTCTTTTTTTCAGTTGTTTTGAAAATGGATTTTTTGTTTGGTTTTTTTAGCCACCAGGCTTGTTGGCGTACTTGGACAGCTCAGATCCAGTTCCTGAGAAGGATGCTGATCGGATGCATGTTAGAGATAACTTGAAAATAGCAATGGTAAATATGATTGTCCTAAGTGGGTTTTCAGGATTAAGAGTGCTATTATAGACTCTTCTCTAAAAAACTGAAAATTTTAGAAATAAATTGAGAACTCACTGAATTGAGTAATAATACTTTATTATTATTATTATTATTACTATTAATATTAATATTTTGGTGGTACTGGATCACACTGAGCTACATCCCTATCTCTTTTTAAAATTTTTTATTTTGAGACAGGGTCTTGGTAAGTTGCCTGGGTATGGCTCAAAATTGTGATCTTCAGCCTGTCTCCCAGAGTGCTGGATTTACAGGCTTGTACCACTGGGTCTGGTTTATTAATAGTTTCTTTGAAGTAAAGTTCACATCCCATAAAGGTTACCTGTTTTAAGTGTGCAGTTCATTAATCTGTAGTATTTTTAGAGCTGTGCAGCTATTACCACAGTCTAATTTTATAAGTATTGGTGGTTTATGCGCCAACTCTGTTGGCGCATTCAGGAGTGAATTTATTTTAAATTTCAGATGTGTAATGTATTTTACGTATAACCTGATGTTGTTGGTAGAAGCAAATATTGAGTTATATATTATTAGAGCTGGTCTGTTTCTGAGAAAATCACTTAAATACCTTTCATGACATACTCATAATTATTTCATATATGTATTCTTTTTCTGTCATTCTTCTGTCTGGATCCATTTCCCAGTTGTACCTTGCAACCCCTCAGAAAAAAGTTACCTCAAAACCTAAGTAAAATAATTAATGTTTCTAACAAATTTTATTGTAGAAATTTTCACTTTGTTATCTGAACCCTAAGATTCCATATTTATTTTACCTTTTGAAATAGATAATGTGACTCAGCTATATATAGTTGTCGAATAACTTTGTAAATAGGTATGTGATGGATTTCAACATTATTTTACAGGACCAGTATGGAAAATTTAATAAAGTTCCAGAGTGGCAAAGACTAGCTGGGAAAGCTGCTAAAGAAGTTGAAAAATTTGCGAAGGAAAAAGTGGACCTTGTGTTGATGCACTGGAGGGATAGGATGGGCATTGCTCAAAAAGAGGTAACAATAAAATCTGCCTCCAAACTTCTAGCATTTCTCTGACTTTATTCTGACTGTAGTTGCTGCTCTTCACAGAGATGATGTTGAGCTATTTCTGACTGAATGCCTGAAGCTTAAAAGTGAATCTCACCTAATTCTGATGCATAATTTTACATTTTTCCTACTTCATAGTTTTAGGAATTAATCATTAGGATTTTAGTTAGATATTTAATATAGAATTACTGTTAAATTTTCTTCCTTCCAGTTTTCATATTTTTCTTATGTATGAAATTCCTCCTTCTGGATTTTGTTTTGTACTTATAAAAATAAGATGCCCTTTTTGTTTAGTTTTTTTTCATTTTTTACTCAGAATTAGATGAATGTTTTAGAGATGAGTCACATGTTTTGAAATTTATTTTGTGATTTAAATTTTGCAGTATTAGTCCCTCAAATTGCATTCTGCTCTAAAATGATTTAGTCTCATTTTTCATTGTGTAGTGTGTGCTACAGAACTTAATTCAGTAGTGCATTGTCTTCCATCTGAAATGTTTTGTGGAGTAGTTGAAAATGGAAGCAGTTGGACATGGTAGCTTAATGCTACTTTGTGTAAGTGATATATGCAATATAAGGAATCAGTAAACAGGCTCCCAAGTGACTAGAATAAAGAGAATACTGAACTCTGAGCTGGTTAACCAACACCTGAGCCTGGTTCCATCACTTACTAACCCAAATTACAGGTTTTCAGAGCTTATTTTCTAAAATCAGAGTAACAGTACCACCCTTCTCTAATAATGTTGCTTTGATATACAAGCAAGATAATAATAAAAGCACTGTACACCTATTCGGTCATGATTATATTGCTATAACATTTGAACAACTGAAGAATCTGTAGATATGGTATAAATGATTTTTACAGTTATTAAAACATAAGCCTCTAGGGCCAGGGATTTAGCTCAGTGGTTTTGCCACCTGCCTCACAAGCGCAAGGACCTGAGTTCGATCCCCAGTACCAAAAAACAAAACAAAACAAAAACATAAGCCTCTAGATTGAAGTAATTAAAACTTTTCTATAGTAGCAATTGCTTCAAGCTATTGAATATAATTGTCATACTGCAAGTAAATTTTAGCATCAGGTTTCATATGTAACATTCATCGAGCATAAGCTTAAACATAAAGCCACTTAACCAGAAACAGGGATATCTGCTATTTTTCTTTTTAGTTTTTGTGGTGCTGGGGATTGAACCCAGGGCTTTGTGCATGCTAGGCAGGTGCCCTACCGCTGAGCCCAGTCCCTATTCCAGCATATCTGTTATTTATAGATAAGTCAGAGAAAAAAATAATTATTTTTAATACAAAAATGTTATATTGGCATGTTGGTACTGTTTGCAAATGGACTATTACCTAAAATTTTGAGCAAATAATGGTAGTGAATATGCTGGTCAAGAAGCTTCTTGGAACTATCAGTTGATTTTCTTTTGAGTAACTATCTTTAAATTGTTTGGGAAACCGTGAGTAATTTTTGTGACTACTCATACAAACACTAACATCAGAATATGGAATGATTATGTGCTTTAATCTGAAAACTACCCATTGTCAAGATTAACTGTCTAGTCTTGGAGTGAGCTGCATTTCTAATGTGATCAGAATGTTTATAAAGTCAGTTCCATTTGTAGCAGATCTGTGTTGGATTAATGGTAGTTTTTTTTTTTTATTTGGTTAGTTTGATATGACACCCTGTGTCTCTAATTTTGTGTGCTTAGTTTATGGATAGTTGTTTTCTTTCTGTATGGCATTTCTTTTATCATTACTCTAGACTGCTAGCCTTTTGTCCTGAAGGCAAAAAAACTGAAGGAAGTAGTTCTTGATAAGTTTTAAGGAAAGATTTGTTATGAAAACCAAACTTTGAATTATTTGTATAGATCCTCGGTACCAAAGGAAAACCAAAAAAAGATAGATCTGAATTATTTGTATAGTTTATTCAAGTCATCTTGCATTAATTTTTGTGATAGTACACAATTAAAATTTGTAGAAAATATTTCCTATTATAACCAATAGGTTTTATATTTCAAATAGCATTTTCTTTTTCAAATTTACTACTCATTTTATCTACATTCTTTGTAATCTAGTCTGTTTTCTTGCTTTATTCATACAATTTGCCCCTTAATGGCTTTTCTGTTTTAATCTATACTACTTTATGCTTTTTTTTCTGTCTTATTGAGGATTAAAATTCTCATGTCTGAAATACCTACAGTTCCACTTGGAGCAGAGATTCTTTACCCCTAGTACATGTATGGACTCCAAGGAATCTTTGAAATCTCCAATTGGAAACGTTGCATATGTGCCTATCTCTAGAAGAGGGGCCATAGCTGTGTTGAATTCTGAAAGGGTTTATGAGTGCCTGGAAATTCGGATCTTGGGTTTAGAGAAGCAAGTGGGCCTTTTTCTGTCTTAAAAGATAACATATATGTGTGCGTGCGTGTGTGTGTGTGTGTGTGTGTGTGTGTGTGTATACTTTATCCCTGGCCCAGCCAGATAACTTATATTGATAACATTTTTATGGAATTTGTGCAATAGATGTAGCTCAGCTAACTTAGGCTCATACTCTTCTTATTTTCTTTAAAAATTTTTCATTTTTTCCTTTTTACAATTAAATTCAGGACAGAAACAATATGGTGAGTTTTAAGTCCCTGCTACATGTGTGAAATGTGTTAAATTGGCATGTGGAGTCATCTTTGATATTCTGTTTTAAAAAGTCTCACTTCACATGTGTCTGAATGTAAATGCTTTTTCTCTATTAGCTATTTCAATTTTAACTGCTCCTCTTGGCTTTAGTAGCAGTCAACTTATAATCTCTTGCATTTATTGTTTTTTCGTGTATTTGTATTAACTGCATGTAAATGTTTGAAACCAGTTACTGTTTTTGACTGTTACAAATTTTACTATTGATCATTATAACTTTAGGCAATGTGGAAAATATTTGATCAACACTGTAGAAATGTGCTGGCAAACAATTGTGATATAATTTAATATCATTTATATTTTGTGGATTTTTTTTCATTAGTGTTTTTGTCAAAATTTGATGGAAGTAATCTTTCTCATCACTCTATAATATAAAGTGGTGATCTTCTGAGTCTCTTTGTTGGCTTCAGGTTGAGCACTAGTTAGTTTTTGGTTTTTTTTTTCCAGAACATAAATCAAAAGCCAGTAGTTCTTCGAAAGAGAAGACAAAGAATAAAAATTGAAGCAAATTGGGATCTCTTCTATTATAGGTAAGCTTTAGACCTCTTTTCAGACAGACTAAGTTGATACTTCCATTAGAGGAATCATGACATGTTTTCCTTCTCCAGGAACAGTTCTTTATGCCACAGGTTTTTTTGGGGGGGTGGGTAGGTACCAGGGATCGAACTCAGGACCTTGTGCTTGCCAGGCAGGCACGGTGACACTGAGGTACATCCCTGCCCCACCACAGATATTTTTGTGCTGTCAAGTATAAGTTATATAACTCTTAAGACTAGTTTAATTAATTATGCTTCCAAGCTGTGTATAGTGGTGCACGCCTGCAATCTTAGCACTGAGGAGGCGGAGTCAGGAGGATTGCCATGAGTTTGAGGCCAGCCTGGGCTACATAGTGAGTTCAAGGCCAGCCTGAACTACAGAGCAAGACTCTATCTCAAAAACATAAAAATACTAAGTAAATATACTTTCATAAAATTAAAGCTTTTAACAGTGTTTTAAGCTTTAAGGCTTAGACATGATTATTTAAAATACATTATGGTGTAGAAATATTGCATACTTTGAGCTTTTTTTGGAAATGGAGATTTAAAAGAAAATGGAGATTTAAAAGAGGCGGATGATAAAAACATGAGACTTGAGAAAAATAAGTGTGCAAATGAATTGACCTCAAACACTTTATCAACCTTTCAAACATGGTAACCCCCTTCAACTCTATCCCCTACCCCTAACATGCACACAAAAAGATACTGGCATAGATATTTTAGGAGTTTGCAAAATTTCTTTAAGGTATCTCACAGCAGCAGGTCTGTAAGTTGATATATTCATTATACCTTGCCTAATGAAGGAAAATTCATGGTTTGAAAACTTCCACCCCTACTTTTAAAGTATATAGTCTGTTTATACTATATCCTCAATTACATGCTTTGGATTTTTTCCTCAGGGATCCCTCAATTGTCCCCCAACTTCCTTGGAACTCTGAAATGAGACATTCTAGGAGGATTGCAGACTGATAGTAAGCAGAGGTGAAGCCCATCCAGCCTCAGTTCAGAATCGGGCCCAGATTTATTGTAATAGTTAAGTTATCCCAGGAGTACAAGGAAGATATTTTGAAAATGTTCAGTCATAACTTGGCCTTTTGTAGTATTGTATTGGGTAGTTCTTAAGGTTCAAATATAGAATGTTGCTCATCCCACATGCTTCATAGCCAAAAGTCCAGAAGTTCTAATCCCCAACCCGAAATTTGATAGCTAAAAATAATTTTTAACTCAAACTTTATTAGCACATAACTGAAATTGAAGTATCAGTTCAGCATTTGAAATTCACACAGCTTTTATAAAGTTTGTTCATTGTTTTCTGAACATTTTGAAAATTTTAAAACAGAAAAGGTGGAAGAATTTCTGTGTATCGTTGAGATGTTGCCATTAACATTTTACTGTATTTGCTTTACACAGATTTTATTTTCTTACTAAAGTTTAATAATCCCACAAGTTTCTTGCTTATTTTAAGATGCATTTGTAGATTCTTTTAAATGTTCATTGTTTCGTACTATTTTCTGATCATATATATGTATAGGTTTAGTCAAGATCATGCCAGGTCAAACCTTATTTGGAATTTCAAAACACGAGAAGAACTGAAAGATACTCTTGAATCTGAAATGAGAACATTTAATATTGATAGAGAGCTTGGTAGTACTAATGTGATTTCCTGGAATCACCATGAATTTGAGGTAAAGTTAAGTTTTTATAGTATATTAATCTTTTTTGGGGGGGGCAGAGATCGAACTCAGATCCTTCCACTTGCGCAGCAGGCGGTGAAACCACTGAGCCAAATCCCCGGCCATATAGTATATTAATCTTAAGAAATAAAGTATGTACTATTTTTGAAGGTTTTTTCATATTTGCATAGCTTGTATCTTTATTTTTAGTGATGTGGAGGAAATACTGGAAAACTATCTCAGAATCATGTAGGAGTTTTAATATATTTGATTCTGTACCTTACAGATCTGTTCTTTGCAAAACCCCCCCCTGCCCCCCCCGTTTGCAGGACATTTATATTCTTCATTAAAATACTGTTTTGCCATGTTCCTTAATAACTTAATTAATAACTGTAAGATTTTATGGTCTTAAAAAAAAAGGTTTTATGGTCTAGTGATGTTGAGGCTTTCTTAATTGGTGTTATCTATGCTTTAATGTTTACACAAGGTTAAAATCGCCCTATACTGCATTTCTCAGAATGTATCCTCATCATTGTGCATGACTGTATATGATTTAAACTGTTAAAACAAGTATAAATTTGAAAATATAAGTATGCTACATGCTTTGACCTTTAAGCCAGCTGTTATTTCTAAAGCACTTAATAATTCTCTCTTCTTTAAAAAAGCTTGCTTTACTTTGATTTTGGGAATCTTTGCTCCTAGATTTTTCTTTCTTTCTTTTTTTTTGGTACCAGGGATGGAACTGCAAGGCAGGCGTGGTGCCACTGAGCTAAATCCCCGGCCCTCTCCTTGTTTATTGTCTACTCCTCTCAGTCATCTTTATTCATTTCCCCTTATCTTGCTGACCATTAACTGTTGGCTGACTCCAAAGGACTGGTCCTTGGACTTCTCATTTATATTCATGGCCTCAGTGATCTCAGTGTTTTTTGCTGATGGATTCCCAGTTTTTGTCTCTAGCTTAGATTTTCTTTACTACACTGCATACTTGTTTCCTATAATTGGATATATGAGCCGTAGTAATTATCTAGAACTTTTCTCCAGAGGGGTGTTCTTTCCCTAGATTATCTTCTTACTTTCTAGTCAAAAGCCTGTTGGAGTATAAAAGGAATCATCTTTTATACTCTGAATCCAGCTTATCAACAAATTCTACCCAGTGGCCTTCAAAATTTATCCAGAACCCAGTCCTCTTCACCATCGGGCAATACCATTGCTTTCACCCTTGCCACCCTGTATTGGTAGCATAGGAGCAAAGTGATCCTGGTTTTAAGAAGTAGTTCATATCATTTCTCTGCTCACAATTGCTTGTTGGTCTCCCTTGTCACTTAGTGAAAATCTGAGTTCTTAAAATATCTTAGAAGGCGGATTCTGTGTAACCCCTTTGCCCCCACCCCCAAGCATTGCTCTCTGATCTCATTTCATACTGTTTTTCCACTCTTACTTCTAGCTACACTGGCTCCCCTGAAATCATCAAATGTTCTTGCCTCAAGATCTTTCTGCTTGAACTAACTTCAGCATAGGTTAATCTACCTCCTCCCGAGTACTTTCATAATTTATTTTTACCTCCTTTAGGCCTTTTTTTTTTTTAATGTCATTATCTGATAGTCCTTCCCTGGCTACTCTCTTTAAAAAGGGAGCCCCTTTTATAGAAACACATATATACACATGTGTTCTCTATCCCTATCCCATTTTCCTGCTTTGTTTGACTTTGTAGCTAAATTTTCACTGCATAGAATAGTGCCTGACACATAGTATATGCTTAATCAATAGGAATTTAATGAATTGAATGCTCAAATATAGAACCAAAGTGAAATGGAGATTAAATATTTATACATGTATTTTTATATAGTTTATATATTTACAAATCAGTTGTTTCAGGCTTTTAGAACAAGAATTGTGAATAATCTTTCCTTGAGAAGAGCATCGTGAGTACAAGGTTTATGTTGCTGCTCAAGTCCTAAGTGTGGACTTCTCCATCCCCTATTGTCTGACACACAGGGAAGGGTGCCTTACAAAAATATACAGTGTGGTTAATGTGTCATTTTAAGTCTGGGCCCATCAGCAAGAGGTAGAACTGGGGATGAGGGAAGGCCTATAGAAACCTCCGTGTGCTTCATAGACTGTGTGCCACAGGACCATCTACTCCACTTGGTTATGGCAAACCCAGGAGGGAATGAAGCTGATTTAATTGACACTGTAATGCTGTGATAGCTTTTATTAGCAAGTTTTACAGTCATGAAACAAGTGTAGTGTGTGGTTCCAACTCAATTTAAGTGAAGTAGTAAGTCATGTTAGTAATAATAAATTACTAGTTATTTTAAGAAATGATTAACTTTGAACACAAAGAATTATGAGAAATGATTGTGTGAGATTGCCAAAAATCTATTGTAAATAATGTATTTTGATTGAATTAATAAAGGTTAAATATGAATGCCTGGCAGAGGAAATCAAAATAGGAGACTATTACCTGAGATTACTACTAGAGGAAGATGAGAATGAAGAAAGTGGATCAATTAAGAGATCGTGAGCTACTTTTCATATCCTGTTATAATTAATTTTACTATTGGTTTCATGGTTACTTATATCACTGAACTTTCTTTTTTAAATCTAGGTATGAGTTTTTCAATGAACTGTATCATCGCTTCCTGCTCACTCCAAAAGTAAACATGAAGTGTTTATGTTTACAAGCCCTTGCTATTGTTTATGGCAGATGTTATGAAGAAATAGGACCTTTTACAGATACAAGATATATTACTGGAATGTTAGAGAGGGTAAGGATATCATTTAGGAGACTGCTAATGATAAGGTCCCTGGAGTAGAACTTATATTTCAAAACTAAATTTAAATTGGCATGAGTTATACTTATTTAAATCTAAGTTGTATGAATAGGAAAATGATTAATGGGTTAATAGTGGTCTATGTCAGTTCGTTTTTTTCATTTGATGCTCTTGAATACCTTTAGTGATCTGTTTGCCAGTCTTTGAATTTAAAGATATGTAAAAGAAATAATGACTGACAGTTTCATGTACCTATGGTTTTCCATTTTGGAAAAAGTATAAATGATACTAGCATACTAAATTTAAAAGTGTGGATATAGTAAAACTGGAAAAAACTACAGTACAATGATAATCAAAAAAAAGAAAATTTAACACATTTTTATACAGTTTGCCTTTTAACACTTGAGCATGGTGGGGAGGGGATTTGTTCATTTTTATAGCACATTTGAGTAGTACTTTTTTATTGTAAAGTAGGTACTTTGTTCATTTATTTGTGTTTATATTCCTGCTTTATAGAGCACCAATTTTTAAAACAGCAACCTGTACCTTTATAGTTTCCTAATTGTGAGTTATGGTTTATAAATTAGAAAACTGATTCATAGTAAGGTCACAAAACATATCTAAGAAGAAGTATAACCAGGAGAGAAATCCTTATAGTTTGCTTTTAAGCCGACTTGGCACTTTTGAATTCTAATTCACTCTTCAGTGAATTGGATGGCTTATGACATAGCATTTATATTTTAAGCAGATGTATTTCTCCTTATGTTCATCACAGTGTCATTTATGTGAAAAATTGGTTACCAATTCTTTAAAGTTTTAATTCAAGAATATAATTTAATTTTTACACATCTCCTTAAAACTATACGTTAATGTGTTTAATGACTTAAAATTCTGTGTAACTTAGAGAAATTAGATAATTTTGAGAAAGACATAGTTGTGAAACACTTCTCAATTTCTTAATTTTTAAAAGATGGCATTATTTCTTAGGTATTGGTTGATTTTTGTGAAGTGGTGAGGTAATGTCTTAATTTGTGTTTCTATTCACTTTGACTAAATTCACACTTATTTTAATAGTGCACAGATAAACTTGAACGAGATAGATTGATCCTCTTCCTGAACAAGTTGATCCTTAATAAGGTACAGTATTTTTGCATAAGTATGCTATCATTTCCAAATTATATGAGTATGTAAAGATAAGTTTGGATGTGAGCTAATTATCTAGAGATGGTTCTTTTCTGTTTTTTAGATAAGAAAACTGTGAGTGTATTAAATTTAGGAAGGAAAAAGATTTTGCCAGTATTCTCTTAATATTCTGTCCTAATATTACAGAGGCCTGATAAACTAATGGCAATAAAATTCTGAATGGAGAGAATAATGAGGGATGATATCGTTACTGACTTTTCTTTAGGAGATTAGATTAAATTTTGGATTAAATTTTAAGAAAAATAAATACCTGACATAAAATGGAAAGTTTTTTAGTTTCTCAGTATACATTTTGGTGGTAAAAAAGTAATTTGGAGATATAAAATGAAGAGTCACCTAACTTTGTGGTTTATATTTAAAGACATTTCACCTGGCCAGTGCGAAGACCTGAGTTCAATCCCCAGTATCCCCCCCAAAAAAGACATTTCAGTAGGTTCAGGCTGAACCTACTGAAGAATTTATAAAGAAGAATTTGTAGTTGTGGTATATAACATTAAAACATAATTGTATGATGTTGAATTGAACTTCAAGCAGATTTTTAGTTCTCCAAATTTTGATACTAATACTAGTTTGTCTTTACTCTCAGTTTTAGCAAGTAATACAAATATTTTTAAGTGAAATGTAATCACTAAGTCCTTGAAAATTTTAAATTATAGTCTCTTCTCAACATCTAAAAAATTGTTTTTGTTTTCAAAAATAAACTGGAATATTAACTTTTTTTTTGGTACCAGGGATTGAACTCGGGACCTTGTGCTTGCGAGGCAGGCAGCAGAACCACTGAGCTAAATCCCCAGCCCTAAAATAATTTTTTAATATAGCAGGGGTTTATTTCTGATTATAGAACAATCTGTTTATTAACCCCCCAAAAAAACCCTTTGACAGGATAATTGTAGAACCAGAGTTTATCATATCAGTCTTTATTATTTTTGTAGGAGAATTTTTACTCCAAACATATTTAAGTAGATTGTTATGAAATATATTTATAACATAGTTCTGCCCTTTTAATCCATCTAAATTGGTATTCCTTGTAAACAAATATTCTGAAAATTAAAAAGTAATGCTGCCAGGCATGTTGGCATATTCCTGTAATCCCAGCACTCAGGAGGCTGAGGCAGGAGGATCACTGGGAGTTCAAGGCCAGCCTGAACTTCATAATGAGACTGTTTAAAAAAAAAAAGTAATGCTACTTGTGTCAGTCATTTCCAAAGAAATTCCAAATATTCTTTTAGAATCTTTTAAATAGTAGTACTCATGGAAGAGAAAGATTTTAGGTTATGTAAAAATGTTTTCATCTTTCAGAAAAATGTGAAGGATCTCATGGATTCAAATGGAATTAGAATCCTTGTGGACTTGCTTACCCTTGCACATCTCCACGTGAGCCGAGCCACAGTACCACTGCAAGTATGTGCTTATCTAGGATTTACAAGCCTTAACGTTCTTTTAATACAATTTTAGGATCAAAAAAATCAGTAATTAAAAATATGGTAACATGCGTGGTCAATAAAGTATTTCTCTAATAATTATAATGGTACTGGTACTTCGGAGATTAATTCACACCAAAAAAGTGAAATCATCATGAGAACAATCCAGAATGGGTAATGATCCAGTTCTATTTTTTCCAGTTCTATCTTTTGTCATTTAAAGTGACTCAGAAAAAAAATAAATAAAGTGATTTACAGGGCTGGGGATGTAGATCGGCTGCACAGCACCTGCCTGGAGAGGTCCTGAGTTTGATCCCTGGTACAAGAAAGAAGGGGGGAGGGGAGGGGGGAGAGGAGAGGGGAGAGAGAGGAGAGAGACTACATCATTAACATTATTTTGAGGCAGTGTGATCTAAACTTAGATCATTTTAATTTTTTGAGTGATGTTTTATTTAATTTCTTGGTGTAAGAAGATGTATCTTGTTAGATTTTGTCTTACCTGAAACTAAAGGTGCTTTTTGAATACTTACAATGTGCTATTTTCTGATAGCAGCTATAAATGATGGTAATCATAATGCCTATTATATTCCTTTATAGTATACAGATACTGTTCTGGTTCACATTCTATGTTTATACTTCAAATGCCCCAACAGCTCTGCTAGGTGATTACCATCATTTTCCCATTTTACATAAAGGAAACTTAGGAACAGAGAGGCTAAGGTTAAGTATATTGCTAAAGTGACAGAGTCAGTTAAACCCCATAAGTGTTAGGTTCTTAACCAGTTGCTATATATGAGTCTAACTGAAAGCTGATAGTCATCGGGGTATTTCAAAATAATCTTATAATAAAATACTCAGATTCCATGACAGTTCTATCCTCATTAAACATTGATAGGGAAAATTATAAGAATGATCTGTAATGTTAAGAGAGATTCAGATAACAAATCCAGTTGGCTTTATCTGCATTCCTGGAATTGGACAACAGACAGTACTAAAAATGGTTCAGAATTCTCTGCCACACCACATAGCTAGCTTATATGAATAGCCAGAGAAAAGAAGTGACATACAAAATGGAAGTAGGGTATAGAGATAGTTCAATTAGTTGCTGCTTGCATCTTGAACATATTTGAATAGTTGTCTGTCAGTGGTTGACTGAAGCTATGATTGATGAGACTCAACTACTTATTAGTGATTTGCAACTTGTTTACACATCAAAAGTTAGGTAACAGTTCACTATTTATGGAGAAAACTTTATGGAAAACCTAAAATTATATATAGAAGCAACTTTAAATTTACATCAGTTTAACAGTGATAAAGATTCTTATATACTTAAAACTAAGAGTTCTGAGCCACCAAAACTTTTTTGCTGGCATTTCAAGCCTTTGATCTCAGATGCTTATTGAAACTCTTAGTTGGATTGAGTTTTATATCCCCCCAAAATCTTTTTAATATTTTAAGGATTATGGTTTAAGGTTAATGGTATTTATTTATTTAAATAACTAGTTAGATATTGCAGTATTTTTCCTTGCTAAAATTTATTTAAATTTAAATTTAAAAGTTATTAATTTGAATTTCGCTTAGATTGCTGAGTAAATTTAGGAAACTATGTAGGTACTTCAAATGTCATTTAATAAGGAAATAGCTTTTTTGACTGTTAAGCATTTAATCCCTGACTCTTTAAAATAAGGTCATTTAAAATTTTAGCTGAATTACTAAAGGGATTTAACTGCCAAATTTGGTAATGTATAATTTTGTTTTATGACATCTGCTTTTATGACTGCTGCCTTCAAAAGTAACTAGTATCTTCTAAAAACTTAGAGCAATGTAATTGAAGCTGCTCCAGACATGAAAAGAGAGAGTGAAAAGGAATGGTATTTTGGCAATGCAGACAAGGAAAGGAGTGGCCCGTATGGATTTCATGAGGTATGTGTATTGGAGAAACTTTTAGTGAGCATCTCCTTTCTTAGGGCATCCTGTTTGGCATACATAGAGGTGTATAATATCTTAAAATTGACTTGAGTTACTAAACATCAGCTACTAAGGGCCCTGTGGGTCCATTTCCACATGAAAGATGGCTTGCACTTCAGAAGAACCACACATCAATGCAAAATCAAACCTTATTTATAAGTTTTGGGAGGCTGAGGCAATAGATTACAAGTTGGAGCCTAGCTTGAGCAGCTTAGTAAGACTGTCTCAATATAAAAAAATAAAGAGCTGAAATATAGCTCAGTTGAAGCCTCAGTATCATCCATCTTCTTACCCAAAAAGAGCTGTTGTTATGGTAATAACACTCTGGGTTTTAAATGAATTTTATACAATGAGACTTTCACATTGATGCTTCCATATGGTATGAACAAATAAATTTTAACATGTATTGTAAAATTCATTGAATAGTGCCATTCAGTCCAAGAATGAAGGGCAGTTCTCCTCTTCATCTGCAAAATTTGATCCTATTCTCTTATCCTCAGCTATTTAGGCTTAGTTGGAATTTGGCCATAGATAGTTTTATGGTGGACCAAGCCTTCTTGAAAGCCTGTCAATGAAAATTTGGGGTTTTTATGGGTTTTTCCTTTCTTTCCTCTTTCTTTCATTTCTTTATTTTGAGACAGGGTCCTGCTAAGTTGCCCAGGCTGACCTCAGACTTGTGATCCTCCTATCACAGCCCCAGGATTTATTTTAAATAGTGAATTTGCATGTTTCTTTCATAGTATATTACTGTGTTAGTATTTCATGGTGTATTATTTCTTATGCATTTATTCTGATATAGAAAACCTCGGCAAATTTTCTATTTTATTTTGTCTGTTTGTAATAATGATGCATTTCATCAATTAAGATGCAAGAATTGTGGATCAAAGGAATGTTAAATGCAAAGACCAGATGCTGGGCTCAAGGCATGGATGGATGGCGACCACTTCAGGCAATACCCCAGCTTAAATGGTGTCTGTTAGCCAGTGGACAGGCTGTACTGAATGAAACTGACCTTGCTACCCTTATATTGAACATGTTGATCACAATGTGTGGATATTTTCCAAGCAGGTAAAATGTAATGAATGTATTCATGATTAACAGGGTACTCTAAAATATCTTGTTCTGCTTGTTTGTGTGGATACTTCCTCAGTAATGTTGTGGGATGGCGGGGACAGTTTAAAAGAAAGATGTCATTTGTAGCCTTAGGGAGTGCTGCTTTGGCCTTCAGAACTTTTTGAAACATATAAATGTATATTTTGCAAATTGATCAAGTAGCTGAAAAGCAGCCTTTCTGGGAAATTTCAAGTAATAATACAAAATTGAGGCCTACTAGCTACTTTAGGTATAGTAGTTTTGAAATAATGAAGTGCAATCCATAATCAGTGGTGACTGCCAGGTCCTGATTTGTTCAGTTAGTTACTCCTGTTATGAAGGCAATTCTAGGCCCACTTCTTGCCCACTTGACTGGTGAGGATGGTGAGGATTTGGTCTCCTGCCACATCATAATTATGAGCCTTGCATGGAACTTTTCAGTCTTAATAAAACAATTACATATGCATCATTTTGTTTTATTACTATACAAAAGATATCTTTTGATGTTCCTGAAAAATAGGCTATGTATTTTATAACAAGTTGTTCATGGTTCCAGTTCTCTTTAAAAATCAGATTAGGTACAAAACCAAACATTTAGGGGCCGGGGATTTAGCTCAGTGGTTTCGCCGCCTGCTATGCAAGCGTGAAGACCCGAGTTCGATCCCCGGTACCAAAAAAGAAAAACCAAACATTTAGCATTTAGGAAGAATATAGCATTAAAAGTAAGGCTACACCACCTGCCTCACAAGCGCAAGGTCCTAAGTTTGATCCCCAGAACCAAAAAAAAAAGTAACGCTGTATTTAGAAAATACTGATCTTGGTTAAATTAAGGCTTAAATTTATGTGACAAAGTTTGATGTACCCTTTGGGGGGACTATCCTCTGACAGTGTGTTAGACAACACAGTTTAATCAAATAGTAAACAAGAGTCTTTGGCTCTTCTAGGGTACTGTTTTTCAAGGAAATCTTATGGAAGGAAATGAAGTCATATTAAGCAGCCAAATAGATTTAAACCAAAATACCTAATCATGTTCCCAGCTGTGTGAGAGCTTAGTCTTCATTAACAAAAAGTAAGGTAACCTGCTTCATGCCTAGTAGAATGTCATATGCTCTGAACATACAAATTTTAATTAACGTATTAAATGTTGACCGTAGAAAATATTTTCTAGGGATCAAGATAATGCCATCATTCGGCCTTTGCCCAGAGTAAAAAGACTACTCTCAGACAGCACTTGCCTTCCCCATATTATTCAGGTAAGTTACTTGGATGTTATCAAACTGAAAACAAGATTTTTTTTTTTTTTTTTTTTTTGTACTGGGGATCAAACTTGGGTCCTTGTGCTTTTTAAGAATTATTTTCTCTAATTTTATTATGAGTCCTCATGTTTATTTCATTATAATCCATTCCATTTTTAAAAAGCCTGAACTCTGAATTACATTTATTTAACACACTCTTAATAGAGTTGGTATTCTGAATATACTGTAGAAAGTTGTATACAGGAACAAAAATGAAGAGTCTCCAGATTCCAGAGTTATTCTAAAAGGGCATTATTTATTATCTAAAAATTACACATTACACCATTCTAATAACTGACAGATAACAGACTCGTTTGTGGTATAGTTTGATGTTAGAGCTGGTGGGAAGCACACCAGGAGGACACAGGTGTGGACATGGCAGTTTATATTTAACAGTCAATCATAGCACTCTTATTAGCATGTGGCTTACATTTTGACTGTTCTCAGTTACCTGTTTTCATGGATAGCAACTGACTGAAAGCATTTTTATGTAGCTACAAATAGTATAGAATATATTAATTTCTTTTCCTTTTATTACCTTATTCTATTCTCTTGGAGTTAAGGTATCTAAAACTCAGATTAGCATAAACTCAAATCAGTCAGGTCCCAGAAATTTCAGTTGTATGTTTCCCTCCTGTGTATCAATTACTCTGTTGTCAGGTTTAGCTTTTTTTTTCTTTTGGTACCGGGGATTGAACTCAGGACCTTGCGGTTGTGAGGCAGGTGGCAGCACCACTGAGCTAAATCTCTGGCTCTAGTTTAAATATTTTTTTTAAAAAGAGTTTTTAAATTTTAGTATGTACTTGCAATACATGATAAACACACAAGTCATGGGGAACTGGTACATACACATAATGCATGTTGATCCTTTTTACTTGCCCTTCTTCACCCCTCCCTCCTATTTCCCTCAAATCTAATTTTTTGACATTAATTACACATAGATTGAGTTTAAGTCCTATCTGTGCCAGTAATTAGTGCTGTTCGTACCTGCCATTTGTGCTCTGATGTCAAAAGAGAGAGGAGAGTAACTCAGTTTATATTTTTATATTCATGTATTGTAAGCATCTCAGTCACTAATGAAAAAAGAGTTTTGCATACAAGAATGCAGTTACTACCTTTTCCCCATCTTTTGTTATTGAATCATACCAGCATTTTAAAATTGTCTGTTGTGGGCATTTCTGTTCACACCCTTAAGTAAAAGAACATAGTAAACCAGTCACCCCCAGAGACCATGTGACTGTATATGTGAGGTGCTACAAAGAGGAGTTTGTTTTCTGTGCTAGGCCCTCAACATGGAGATACAGTACCATGCCAAGAAAACCGGCATCTCAAACATTTTTCCAAGATTATGAAACTGAAAGAAAAAAGGAATTACAATGACAGAAAAGGGAAACTGTTAAAGAAATGTGGTCATAACTTGAATCATAAGAGAGATAAAGGAATGTGTATTTTAATTAACCAAAAGTGTTCAGTAATATCTGAACAAAGTAATTGGAGAGAATTTTATTGATCAGTCTAACTTTTTAAATCGCGTATACCTCCTATGTTTTTAATACTGAATATTCAAATTTTTTTCTAAAAAATTTTTTTTAGAAATTGTTTTTGTTTTTCCTAGGAGAAGATATATTGGAGACTGTAATCTTTCTGAAACACAGGTGGCTGTTCTAATTTTCAGAAATAGTATTTCCATTAGTTAGAAAGGGATCTCTTTATTTCATTAAACTTTAGGAGCAGTTATAACCATCTGATATAGCTTCAGAATTTTCTCAGTGGTCTAAGATAGAGTGAATGTCCTAGGTTTTCTGTTATAGTGACAACTTGACATGCTTTTTTTTGCCTCATTGATCTCCATAATATCAGTTTTCTTTTTTATTTTTCTATTTGAGACAGGGCCTCACTGTGTAGTCCAGGCTGATCCTGAATTCACTGTGTAGCCCAGGCGGGCCTGGAACTCTCCTGCCTCAGCCTTCTGAGTGCTGGGATTACAGGTGTGCACTATCACACCCAGTTCATAATATCAGATCTTGAGCTATAGTTGCCCTTAACACTGGGGAAAATCTTATGTGACTGTTTCTCAGTTTTTCCTTTGTAAAATATATCAAAGTACGAACCACTTAATTTAAATACCTTATTGAACAGATAAGACACCAAAGCATGGAGAAGTTTAAGTTACTTAAAAGGTATATAGGTATATAGTTCTTTTTTTTTTTTTTGCTTAAATTCTTTTATTGGTACATTTTAGGTATACAATACATTTACATTTATCATTGGGTGCTTCTACCTGTACTTGATGTATCTAGGGTCTTATCTTTTCCCCATTACCTGTGCGCCCTTCACCCCCTCCACTCTTCCCTGTTTACATAAACTTTGTTTCCATTTTTTTCTTTTCTCATTTTTCCTTTCCCTTTCCCTTCCCACTTCCCCTACCCCTTCAGACCTTTTCTTCCTATTTCAAATTATCAATTATTCGTTTTAATCTTTATTTACACTTTCCGTTTCTCAAAATAGAGAAACTATTCGGTATTTACACATATGTGTCCTATTTATTTCACTGAAGAGTATGGCCTCAATATGCATCCATTTAGCAATAAATGTCTCTAGCTTCTCATTCTTTATGGCTGAGTACTACATTTTATGAAAAAAAACCACACCTACTTTATCCACTTTCCAGTTGATGGGCAATTGAAATGTTTCCGAGCTTTAGCTATTACGAACTGTGCCGCTATAAACATGGGTACACATATATCACTGTGATATGATTCTTTTAATTTTGTAGGGGTTGTTTTTGGTTGTTTTTTGGTACCAGAGATTGAACTTGGATCCTTACGGGTGCAAGGCAGGCGAGGGAACCACTGAGATAAATCACCGGCCCTGATTCTTTTAATTCTTTTTGGAAGATACCCAGCAGGGGAATAGCTGGGTCAAATGGGACCTCCATCCCTAGCTCTTTGAAGTATCTCCATACTGATTTCCACAGTGGTTGCACCAGTCTGCACCCCCACCAACAATGGAGATAAGGGTTTCTTTCTCCCCACACCCCCGCCAGCATTTGTTGTTGGTTGATTTCTTGATAGCAGCCATTCTTTCTGGGGTGAGGTTGGAATCTGGTTTTTTTGTTTTGTTTTTTTTTGTTTTTCCCCCACTGTTTATTTTGGTACATTTTAGGTATAAAATACAGTTACATTCAT